ACCTCCAACTCCTGGGCTCAAGCGAGTCTCCTGCCTATGCCTCCCAAGTAGCTGGGACCACAGGCGCCCGCTACAACGCCTGGCTATTTTTTGGTTGCAGCCATCATTGTTGTTTGGTAGGCTGGGCTGGATTTGAACCTGCCACCTTAGGTGTATGTGGCTGGTGCCTTAGCCACTTGAGCCACAGGCGCCAAGCCAACTACCTCTTTAAATATCTTCAAATACGGTCACATTCTGGGGTTAGGACTTCAGGGTATGAATTCAGCCTATAAGCATTCAGCCCAGAATGTGCTATCCTGAGTTGTTTTCTTAAACCCTGCCCATACCTTTGTAAATATTATTAACTCTCCTCCACTTTTCCTTTTGAGTATATTTTTTCCTGTCCAGATTCTGACTGATATATAAAGGGTCTCCAAAATACTACACTTTTTGAAAAAAAGGAAACCTCAGGGTGGGATTACCTCACCCAGCATTCTGGGAGGCTGAGGTGGGTAGACTGCCTCAACTCATGGGTTCAAGACCAGCCTGAGCTAGAGTGAGACCTTGTCTCTAAAAGTAGCAGGGCGTTGTGGCTGGTATCTGTAGTTCCAGCTAATTGGGAGGCTGAGGCAAGAGAATCACTTGAGCCCAAGAGTCTGAGGTTGCTGTGAGCTATGGTGCCACAGCACTCTATCAGGGGGGCAAAGTGAGACTGTCTCAAAAACAAACAAAAAAGAAACCTCATTTTCAAAATGGTAAGAAGCATGATGTATCTGCTTTCATATTAAAGCATTAAAACAAATATCCTGCCAACTGCCTTTCTATTATCAATACTTTATACTTTCAGGGATCCCCAGAATTCTTTTTCCTTTTTAAAAAACAATTATTACCATTTTTTTTACAAGTTATGTTTTTATGTGACATGACTCAATGCAGGTGGGATGTAGGGGTAAGAGGATGTCATTACTGAGCGTTAGTAATGTCTCCAACCCCTTTTTTTCTGATTGTCTAACTTCCCTACCCAGACTTGGTGACTACCTGCAGTCACTCCACTCCCAGTGGACTTTTTGCTTTGGAGCCCTGGAGCACGCACCCTCTCTCCACCCTGGAATCCCTGGGTTGAGAAGTTCCTGTTTGCCCCATTTGGTATAGCCACCCCTCATCTCTGGCTGCTGCTTTTCTCCCATAAAGTTCAACTTCTTCTCTTTCTGAACCTATTTGAGAATATCTTTTATCTTTCTTCTTTAAATGTTCCAAGCTAAAATTCTTCTTCTTCATCTTTTTTTTTCTTTCTATTGAGATAAGAGTCTCACTCTGTTGTAGAGTGCGGTAGATGTCAGCCTAGCTCACAGCAACCTCAAGCTCTTGGGCTGAAATGATCCTCCTTCTCAGCTTCCAGAGTAGCTGGGACTTCAGGGGTTCACCACCAGCAGCAGTTAATTTTTCTATTTTGGTAGAGATGGGGTCTGGCTCTTGTTCAGGCTGGACTTCAAATTCCTGACCTCAAGCGTTTCTACCTCCTTAGCCTCCCAGAATGCTAGGATTACAGGCCTGAGCCACTGTGCCAGGCCCAAGCTACAATTCTTGTCTGCCTCTGTGGGCATATAATTAATGATCAGCTTAATGCAATCAAGGCATTTTTGCAAGCCTACTGTATATACCCTGGGTGTGTGACAGAGGGGGAGGGAACATACAAATTATGACCTCTCTCTAGTCTTCAAGTATTCATAGACCTTGCCAACATCAAGAAAAGTGAGAGGCCGAGCGCCGTGGCTCATGACTATAACCCTAGCACTTTAGGAAGCTGAGACGGGTGGATACTTGAGCTCAGGAGTTCGAGACCAGTCTGAGCAAAGGCGAGACCCCCTCCCCTAAAATAGAAAAACTGAGGCAAGAGTATTGCTTCAGCCCAGGAGTTGGACTTTGCTGTGAGCTATGGTGCTAAGGTACTCTTCCCAGGGCAACAGCTTGAGACTGTCCTCCCCCCCCACCAAAAAAAAAGAAAGGAAAGAAAAGTGACAATGCTTACTGTGCCTGACTGTAGGCCAAAATGTGAGGCCCGCTCCCTTCCCCAAGCCGACTTTCTCTTTAGGATTCATGGTTAACTGTAAGCATTTACATCCGCACCTCTCTCTGGAAGTATCTCTTTTAATTATTATAAGCGCCTTACTAGAGAGGTTATTTTTCACTCCGGGTGATGCGCCAGCACCAATCTACACAGTTGATTGCAGCGGTCACAACACTTCCGCCAGCTAGCAAGCAAGGACAAAAGCCGGACTACTGGATTGCCTCAAACCACATGGTTGGGCCGGCGCTTAAAAGCAAACCCAGAAGCCGGGCGCAAGAGCCAGCTTCTCCACTCTAGTCCCAGCCGGAGTCGCTGTTGGGGGCGGTGCTTACGGCCGACCGACGGCGCATGCGCTGAGGCCCGTCAAGCCGGGTTGTACGGTGGCTGGCGGCGGCAGCTTGGTCTCTATTTCCGTATGGGCGGCCGCGCGGCGCTGTCGTGAGTGTTCGGGCTGCCGGCTGTGGTGAGTGTTCGGGCTGCCCGGCTGAATGTCGGGTGGGAGACTACTGGGTTTGGCTCAGGGTACCCGGGCAGCTGCGACCCGCGCCCTGGCCTCCGCCCGCGGTGGAAGTGCCAACCTGTGTGGGCGGTCGGGGGCTGATCCTGAGGCCAGGAGCGCGACTTCTGTCCGATTCACCTGCGACCGGAAGTAATGTCGCGGCGCGCGCTCACCGGGAGCGGCTGGAGCCTCAGTTGCTTCTCTGGTCCCGGCCCTGCGGTCTAGAGAACAATTAGCAACTTTTCAGTCTTGTATTAGGTCATCTGGGCCCAGTTTGATATTGGTTAAAATATTGGAGTTGTTATTTGAAAGAGAGTATCGGGGTAAATATATTCCAGACGCTTTGGACACTGACACAGTCAGGTTGGACGGACTATGTGAAGGATTGAGCGGTCCACCTGGCCTTGCGGTCCCATGATTGCCACGTAGAGTCCATCTTCACTGCTGTCATCTTATTCCAAGCTTCCATCGTTTTTCTCCAGAACGTATTCCATCATCTCCTCATCGCACTGTTTCCTTCAATCCGTTGTCCTTACAGCATTTCAAGTAGTCTTTTACAAACATAAATTGGGTCATGTTACTTTTACTTACAACTCTCAAGTCAGTGTATTGCAATCCATGCTCATGTTTAACCAGGCCTGGTGTGATCTGGCCCTTGCCTGCCCCGTCTCAGAACAGTGCTAGCGTAGGACTCTCCAAACCAAGATCCAACTGGCTCCTGGCCACTAAGTCCCACTGCTCAACGTGGAGGACAAGGAAGATACTGTTTCCCAGATGATTAAACCTTGTGTTGTGTTAGACGATAACCTGCCAGATTAACATAGTAAATGGAGTGAGTCCTTATTGACTCTTTTAAACTTTAAAGTAAGAAATTCTCACTGTTCCAACCTTTTTCCACTTCCAATGTACCAGTTCTTTCCAGCCTTAAAAATTACACACGTTGTTTCATTGCAGTATGTTTGCTCCACTTTTGGCCTGATTAACTCCAGGCTCAGACATTGCTATGGAGGAGGCCTCATTGACCCCTGCCTCCAATTTCAATTAGGTTTCTCTCATATTTTGGGAAGAGTCTTGTTTAATACTTTCCTCCTATAGCAGTCACCATAATTACAAATATTTGTGTGTGTATATATATATACAAGTATATATATGTTACATAATTTTTAAAATGTCTGTCTTTCCTAAGAGACTAAACTTTTTTTTTTTTTTTTGAGACAGAGCCTCAAACTGTCCCCCTGGGTAGAGTGCTGTGGCATTATAGCTCATAGCAACCTCCAATTCCTGGGCTCAAGCAAGTCTCCTGCCTCCGCCTCCCAAGTAGCTGGGACCACAAGCGCCCGCCACAACGCCCGGCTATTTTTTGGTTGCAGCCATCATTGTTGTTTGGCGGGTCCGGGCTGGGGATTCAAACCCGCCACCTTAGGTGTACGTGGCTGGCGGCTTAGCCTGTTGAGCTATAGGCGCTGAGCCCTTTTTTTTTTTTTTTTGAGTCAGAGTCCTATGTCACCCTCAGTAGAGTTCTATGGCCTCATAGCTCACAGCAACGTCAAATTCTTGGGCTTAAGTGATTCTCTTGCCTCAGCCTCCCCAGTAGCTGGGACCATAGGCGCCTGCCACAACGCCCAGCTGTTTTTTTTTTTTTTATAGTTGTTGTTGTTAGCTGGCCCCAGGCTGGGTTTGAACCTGGCACCCTTGCTGTATGTGGCTGGTGCTGAGCCACTGTAATTGATTTTTAGTAACTATTTGTGGAATGTATGATTTATTTTACTTTTAAAAGTCTTCTTTGACCTTCTAATGGGAGCTGTCTGGTTTTCAACTCTCACTCCTAGAACCCTGCTGTTCTGACCACAGCTAGATTCCTAAATGCCTTCTTGATCCTTTTCTCCATTTTTAGCCCCCTTTTGGCACCTTAAAAAAAATTTTTTTTTAACCTACCTGATGTGAACCCCACAATCAGTTCAACTACTTTTCTCCTCAGCATCTTTGACCTCATGACCTTTTGTTCTACGACTTATCTGAAAAACCTCAAAAGTGACATTTGTAGGACCAATTTGAGAGGAGGAAATTGTGCAGCCTTGGGATTGTTGGCAATTTATGGTTTTAGGGGGGCAATCTCAGCTCAGTCCTCACCCATCATCAGTGTTTGTTTTCCATCAACATCTCCTTTTATCTTCTACAGGACATTTATTCCAGACTCCTAATTCTTCTCCAGCCTATATCTTAACTTTGCTCCCAGGCCAGGAAATGCCCAAACTTCTTACCTTATGGGAAACTTTCTCTGTAGTTCGCTTCAGCGATTTGTAGATTTGCATCTACAAATTTAGGTCCACTAGGAGTCTTTCTGCCAGAGTGAGAGAAAGACCTATTGTGCCTCTTTTCATTTCTGCTCTGGACCTTTCTCTGCTGCTATGTTTTTGTGTAAGTTATTTCCCTCCTTTCCTTCTAGCTATTATATTCTCCAGTTTTTCTTCCTTGATATTTCTCTTCCCACTCCCAGCCCAGCTTCATCACTCTGGTTGTCTCCCTTCATCACCAAGATATGCCACTCATTAAAGAATAGGACATGTGGCCTCTGTTTTCTCATCTGCTCATTTCATAAGCAACTATGTCCGGGTTTTTGTCCCCATGTTTCACCTATACTTCTTTTACTAAGATAACCAAAACCCCCGCTGGTATGCAAATTGACTGAATCCTTCCTGATTTCCTTATGTAAACTTACTATAGCATCTTCTACTTTCAACTGTGCCCTCTTCCTTTATTATTGCTAGAAGTTTTCCCCAATCTTTATTATTTTTAACCTTGTCTTTGTACTATAACACTATTACTTAACATTTTTGGTTGAATTGACATTTTTTTTCTTAAAATATCCTTGTATATATACAAATAAGAAAAATGAAAACAGAATTGTTTAATTCCAGCGAATGCAGAGGCTGTGAATCAGAATCCTCCCTCCTTTGTTGGAAAGAGCTGAGCACCAGGCTGAGCCTTTTTCTTGAAAACAAAAGGCCCAAAGAGGAGGACCCTTGTTCCTCTCTTGTTCGTGTTTAACCTATTCATTGTTAGCCTCTCCATGCCCGCTAAAGTGATATCTGGTACTTGTCATCCTTGGGAACTGGGGAGCTGCTTGCTTGCTGTGTGGAAGCATCCACATTGGCCCAGACTTTTCCTTGACCTCAGATTTGTATTTCTGACTGCATGTTGCATAGGGCACTGGTGACATAAATGCCTCCCTAGCCGCTCTCCCTGTTTCCCATCACTGCATTTTTTGAGAGCCTGATTTTTGTGACCAAATTCACTGGTAACTTACGGGTTCAGATCAAATTTTTTATTACTTTAGTTAGACTCCTCTCTGAGCCTTCCTTCCTTTCAGCACGTATTAAGCACCTCTGACATATCAGACTGGGAGGTAGGTGTTCAAATCTTAGTTCCTGCATGGTGTTTCTTGGGCCCTAGACATGAAGTAATGTTCTTCTAAGAGGTTCACGTGGCCTCTTGTCTGTGTCACTACCGGCCTACCTGCTCTGCTGTCTTGTTACTGATATACCTCTCCAGTACAGCGTGAACTTCTCTGGGGCAGTTGGTGCTCAATTCTTTGCATACCATTGCTGGGTTGGTGGCATTGTTTTATTTAATGGGAAAAGAGTGGAGCTAATTGGGTGAACTTATGGTCATTTCATAGAAATAGTTTCAGTGCTGAAAGAAGCCTTAGTTTATTCACAGTTAATTAAAAGCCAAGGCTGATTCCTGGTTATTGAGTTGCTTTTTTTTTTTTTTTTTTTTTTGAGACAGAGCCTCAAGCTGTCCCCCTGGGCAGAGTGCCGTGGCATTACAGCTCACAGCAACCTCCAACTCCTGGGCTCAAGCGAGTCTCCTGCCTCCGCCTCCCAAGTAGCTGGGACCACAGGCGCCCGCCACAACGCCCGGCTATTTTTTGGTTGCAGCCGTCATTGTTGTTTGGCGGGTCCGGGCTGGGGATTTGAACCCGCCACCTTAGGTGTACGTGGCTGGCGCCTTAGCCGGTTGAGCTATAGGCGCCGAGCCTATTGAGTTGCTTTTTAATGTATTTATTAGATGTTACAGTTATGCTGGTAAAATAGTGAAAATATTCTTTAAACAGCAGTTCCTGTGCAGAGTAGAATGTGAAAGTTCCCCTGTCCTGCTGCCTCCCAGCTCTTGGCAGGTTTAGTATGTGTCCTTCCAGATCTTTGTGTGTGTATCCCATACATGCAGATGCGGACGCACATTTCATCCAACATAAACATGTTCATACTATGTCCCATGATTTCTTTTTAAACTTAATTTTTATTTAATCATAACTGTATACATTTATGGGGTACAATGTCATGATTTGATATTCAGTGTGAAATGTTAAATCAAACTGATTAACATAACCATATCCTTACTTAGTTTTTGTGGTAAGACAAGAGGCTAGGGCACCAGCCACGTATACTGGAGCTGGCGGGTTCGAATCCAGCCTGGGCCTGCCAAACAACAATGACAGCTACAGCCAAAAAAAAAAAAAACAAAGCTAGGCATTGTGGCGGGCACCTGTAGTCCCAGCTACTTGGGAGGCTGAGGCCAGAGAATCTGCTTAAGCCCAAGAGGTTGAGGTTGCTGTGAGTTGTGACGTCACGGCACTCTACCCAGGAAAAAGAAATGTCCCCTTGCATTGTGCACATTAGGTGAGATCCCACCAAATACCCTCCCTCCACTCGCTCTCCACCCTCCCCCATTCTTTCCCCTGTCCCCTCCCCTGTCTCTCCTCTCCCCTCTTTCTTTCTGGACTATATTTGTAATTTATTTCTATAATGTGTAAGTGATTATATATTGGTTTTATAATAGTATTGAGTACATTGGATACTTTTTTCCCCCCATTCTTGAGATACTTTACTAAAAATAATATGTACCAGCTCCATCCAGGTAAACATAAAAGATATAAAGTCTTGGCTCACTGCCTGTAGCTC